TTGAGGTGATTGCGTGTGATGATTAAGTTGTGACATAGTATTTCCCCTATTTGTCATCTAATAAGTTTATCATTTGCTGCAAAGATACAGATGAAGTTGAGAATTGCACAACTCCTATCAGTAATTCTGGTGCATGAAATAATTCCTTGCCACACAGGCTAGCTTCCACTTGTAGCCCTGTTTGAGCCAGAGGGCGGTAGTGGACCCATTCAATTGTGGGTCACCCTCTTCCCTTTTCCCTTGATGGGATAGGTAGTGGGACAGTGTATGAGTCCTACTTTCACAATCCTTTCATGAATAAGCACTCAATACAGAATATATCTTGTCTGGTCACGACATGTAGGGTACCCCTTATTAACCTGCAGTTCTCCTTCAGACATCCATAGGGTGTCCATAAGGTACCTTAGCTATCATACTGTCTACCTGGTCCTGGGATCAGATCACCTGTGTAGGCCTCATCACCACAAGGCTGCCCTGCACATGTCTCTACTATCACAATTGAGTTAGATTATGGGGCACCCAGCTGGGAGTCCCCCAGAGAAGTAGTTAGTGTGGGAAATCATACACACATTAGTGACTAGAGAGAAAATATTCTATGTTCAGTTTGAGTAGTTTTTTCATTTCAAACATTAAAGGGAAGACATTTTCTAACAACCCACGGTCCCTGTCAGAGAGCCTGGAATCTATACTCAGTAGTGACAGAGGATGGTCTCTCCCTTGTTGCTGGCCCTGAGATGGTGCACCACTGACATTCCCACTCAGAGTCTCGGGGTTGCCTGACATCCTCCCTGCATGGCTTCATCAATTTTTTGTTTCATTTTATTTTCAATTTTTATTTATTCCTTTATTTTTTTTAAGTCAGAATCTCTGTAGGCCTGGGTAAAGTGCCCTGGAGTCATCATAGCTCATAGCAATTTCAAACTCTTAGGCTCAGTACCTGGGACTGGAGGTCCACCCCCACAACATCTGGCTTTTTATAGTTTCAGTAGAGATGGGGTGTCACTGTTGCTCCGGCTGGTCTGGAACTCCTGAGCTCAAGGGATCCTTCTGCCTCAACCTCCCAGAGTGCTAGGCTTATAGGTGTGAGACACCGTGCCTAGCCCAGGATTTCCTCCTTGAATCTCTTGTCATCTCTGTCCACGCCCTGCCTTTCCTCACATCTCTTCTTGTGGTGTAAACTGCTGGGATATGTCTCCATTTGCCCTGCAGCCCTTTCTCCTGAAATCTGGAATGTGTCCAGTTGTGTCCTTACCTCTTTGTGGTGCCAACTAACAGGCATCTCCATCTTCATATATGCAAAGGGGACTTTGCTGTGAGAAACATGTTCTCCTGTGGTCCTCACATCTCAGAGCAGAACGACCCTATGCTTCCTGGGGTTCATGGAACTTCATCTCATATATTTAAATTAACATGGTAACGGCCGCGTGAGTTGTATTTATACTAGTTTTGAACCTGGGACATAGAGAAACATGTATCACTCATGTGTCTCTTGAGCTATCTTGACATAAGGAAACACCATGGCCCCAAAACAAAATTTTCTCATACTGTGCACTCACTCTGTTGTCATAGCATATAAGACAACACGCCATTTTCTTTTTTTGAGGCAGAGTTTTACTCTTTTCCCCTGGGTAGAGT